TGTAAATGTATAGGCTTATTACTTTTACTAGTATATGTCTCCTAGGATAATTCCTGGGAGTTATCAAATCCAAGTTCTTTTGGACAGGGATAAGGACAATGAGATCTTCTGTATTGATTCTCATTGTGTCGCATGTCCAGACCATGACCGTGTGTTGCATACATGTTAGTAACACAGATCCTGGTGGCGGCTATTCGTATTGACGCGGTAGCAGACCATAATGGTCATAGAAGTGTTATGAAGGCAGTAAGCCCCAATTATGGAGGGGTAATTCGCACTCTGACTAAAAGGAACTGGCAGCAAATAAATATTTCAAAATACAGCCCTATAAAATATACAGTATTTTCAATAGTATTCTTACCATCAGCATGCTTTGTTCCACTCAAATTCAAACAAAAAAGTGCTCTCTCTCTCTCTCAGAATACTCTCTTTTTGTGCATTCTTCCTTTGATAAAAGTTCCCCACAGTACTCCAAGACAAAGTTGCCCTGTTCAATTGGCTCATTAGTATACACTCCTCTACCTATCAATATAAAAATGTACATTTGCATAAATTAGTTACATCACCCATCCATATCTTTATATAGCAGGTCAAGGAATCTTATTCAGTGCAGCTTTGAAATTTTTTTAAACAACTTATTCCTACATTATTACAACTATCTAATAGCCAAATTCATCACTTACACTTTATCCTGGTCAGGATAAACAAAACATGTTGGCTTATATAGAAGAAACTTTTTGGAAGAACAAATATCACACGAAACATATATACAATACCACATTGCAAACATAAAATGAAAGACAAACCTTTATAGGCACTGATGAATATTTCTTTAATTAATATTTTGTCCTTGGAAGATAGAATGTGACTTGTTACATCATCATCTGGTCTTATTCTTGCTCTCCTTTTTGACATGACCAGTCTGCAAAGATTTTAAAGAAAATCTGTTTAAACATATATTTAATAAAACAATGTATTACTGTAAAAATTCAATGATTTCTATGGTTAACATAACTAAAAATGTGTATGTTACAATCCACCCAATAACTAAACAATTTAACCTACCAAAGTCACATTTATTTTATAGCATATCAGCTTGTAGAAAAAGTATATTACAACATATAACAGACTTCAGGCTTCTGTATCAACCAAGATGTCTAGTCTCCACTTATGACCTAATATAACATGAAAAATGCAACGGTAAAACCACACGCTGCTACTACTTTGCTATGTATTCTAGCAACTGAAGTAACCAAACTCATAGTCAAAAAAGCCCAGCATAGATTTCAATAGTTCTTGCATATGGATAATGTCTTTATGTAACCTCCAAAATTACTTTAAATGCTAACGCTAGCGCTTGTAGTCTATCTACCCCAGTTATTCGATGTTCTCAATACAACAGAATTTTGGCTACAACGCGCTTTACGTGGCCCTTGGTAAAATATATATTTTTGGATTCCTCGCGATGAGTAGAATTTGAATGAACTGTACCCATGTTCATTTCCAAAGTTGATCATGTTTTATTTTAATTTTACAAAATTATTAAATATTTCAAGAGCAATGCTACCTATGGAACGAGTTTAGAAATACTTCATGATCACATCGAGAGCTTCGCAAGCAGCCCAGTAAAGCCTATCGCAACCGTATTTTGTCATCTAGCCTAAATACATTACTTTTATTTTTAAATGGAGCAAAACACCTCAAGTGCAAACATTGAAAGGAAAACTACCTTATTTTGCTTACCTATCTGTATTATTACAACCTGTTCATTGATGTTCCAATGCTAGTAGGTAGTAGCTAGGCGAGCTAAAGTTAACCGTTCTTATCCTGTTCATAAGCCACGATAGCATGTGCTAATTCATTGCTAGTGATTGTTTTTTAACACAAATTGTTTGCTGGCTGTAGGTAAATTGTCCTTTCTTGTTACAAAAGCCACTACACTATCTTAATATAACTACTACCTAAATTATGATTTTAAAAATTATATTTATGCCAATTATAAATACAGAGAATTCTTACCTTCTCTCACTGCGTGCACACCGTGAAGAGATCTGCGGTATTGAGGTACACGTCACAGCAGTTTCACGATAAGATTCATCAGTTTATTAGATAAGAAGAGTATGATCGTCACGAGAAAACAGGACAAGGTTTTTCATTGGTTAAAATGCACACACTTCTGGTGTATGTAAGTTGTAGCTGCAATACCACATGAAAACGGAGGTTGACTATGAGCTCAATTGACACACAACTATACACACAAAAACTGATTTTCCTATCTATCTGGGGACATCAACAAAAAATCACTAGGCCCATCAGGGGAAGCTCCTGGACTCTGCTGCACTCATTTAAATGAAAAACCTTGTGGGGACCGTCATTTCAGACCTCACAAGGTTTTCGGTCCCCAAATGGTGACTAAGCTTCCGACTTCAGGACCTCAAAAGATAGAAAAACAAGCACACACACACACACACACACACACACACACACACCTCTACTGTACCTACCTACCAGTGTGTCCACACACTCAAATTCTGCTACACTTTTGGTTTTCACATTGACTTCACCATCTGTGTCCAATGTACTGTATCTTGTTGTTGACCTATGAGAAAACACCTGGTGAGTGACATTTTGATGGGTGACAAGCCTAAAATCAAACAAATCAATCTGCTTTGCCTAAGACAAACAACTCGTATAACGTACATAGCATATCACAGCCTCGGGACCCGAGTGCGTAATAATAGACAGCACCCGTGCGTATTACATGT